TTATATCCCGCTTACGCTTGCGCTTTTAAATCGACTCCAAAAAAGAGTTTGTTAAAAATTCGAATGTGCATTTTTATTTGTATTGTATGATATCTTCGTGTAATAAAAAAGGTTATTGGTCTCTCCTGGATTTAAAGTATAATGTTAGTCTCGTATCGATTTTGTTTCCTTATTTATTGTTCAACGAATATTATTATTCGTTTATTAATATTCAATTATTAAAATCAAAAATTAAACTAAATTAAATTATTAATATTTAAACACTAAAAATCAAAAATTATACTTGTAAATTGTCTGTTATTTCTTTGTGTCAGTTTCTGGGAATTTTTTACCTTTATTGGTGATGTAGTCATGAAAGTAATTTTCTTGAAATATCCTTATAAGGTTCATAAACTACAGTAATCATTTACTTTTAGATGCTTGTTTGCCACCAACGTGGTATAAAAAAATGGTATAATGTTATAAGTGATATCAAAGTTAATTTTTTTTTCTTCATTTGGAATAAAACTATCATTTGTGATAATTATAGAACATCGTTCATCTATACTCTTTGTCATATTAACAAAATATTACATTTATAAATATTAGTAAGATTTAAAAGAGCAGGATAAATATTTATTAATTTATTTATTTACACTTTATTGCACCATTTATAAAATAGTAAATACATTTAACTGTTTATTACAGTTAAATGTATTTACTATTTTATAAATGGTATAAAAGGCAGCCTAATCGCTAAGTAATCTCTTCCAGACAGACATAATATTTGTAAAAGTTGGACAGACGTAAAAATAAATTTCTCAAATTTTTAACATTGAATAATATTTGAAGAATATAACCTTGTTTCAGTTTACTTTTGTATAAGCAAATATTGATCAGCAATACACATACAACGATATAACAATATAATATTAATGTTATTCATACAAACTTGTTTACGCGTTTAAATATTTTGGATTTATATATTCGTATATACATATACTCGTTTCACATAAAAGTATTTTATAAGTTAGAAAATCCACTACAAAACATAGACGTCCTCCATGGGGGATTTTGGCAGCAGTTGCCATGCTTGTTGCAAGTTGGCAACCGTAGTTAGGTTTTGGTAATGTTTTAAGAGGGACGCTGCTGCCCATTCTTCTACTATGAAATTTTCTTTTTCCTAATCGCCACTTACGATATCCAATGGAGAGGAAGGAAAAGTACTAAATTACCATACTATAATTAATAAAGGAGCTTAGGATTTCCTAAGCAATAATTTTGCTAAACGGATTTACTATCTTTTTGCGTCTAAACAATTCAACCAATTATTATGTATGCTATAAAAGTAGTTAATTTACCTTAATTACCTATCATAACACTATAGACTGGCCTTTTACGTGTTCCTCCATCAACATACATATAATTTTGTATATATATATATAAGTAAAGTCGTTTGCAATTGTATGACTTATATATATAAATAATTATAAAAATAAATATAATAAATAAGCAATTTGGAGTGAAGAAGGACATAGGTTGTTCTTACCACTGTCACGCGGACTAAGTCGCGAGTAGACGTTAGTTATTAACAATCATATCCGTTCATTATCGCTTTTCTTATGGCCCATGCTCCGCTCTTGAGTAAAAGGTCCCAAATAACGTGGCGCCTGACTCAACAGCCTCTTATCAGGATCAGACAGAGATAAGAGTAAAAAGTTGCCGCTGAGCAAACAATGGTTGGAATACAATCAGGGTGGCACTTTACGGTTCCACTGTTGCCTGTTTTAACTTGCTGAGTTGCAATGACATATTTTAACAGAATGAATCCTACTGGATGAATCTTGTAAGGAGAAAAATTTAACTATACCTATTATATTAACAATACAATAGATACAATATATAATAACTATATTTATTATATATTGTATCTTAGTAATAATAATAATCAGATATAATAATAATAAGTGTTACAAAATTTTTAGGGAGATTTTGTACAAAAGTCGTTTGCTTGGGTACCTCGGTACCATTCATGTTTCTACCGTGAAGCTGTGTTTGCATTTGTGCTTTGGTTTTTTTATGAGTGAAAATGGTATGGTAACGGTAACTCCGCCTGCGCTAATGGGACACGCTGGCGGAGCACCAGTGAAGGGTGATAGATGAGAATGAAACCAGGCCAGTTAGCCCATCATGATAAATTCATCAGGAATTAACCATGATAGTTTCCAGAGGGAACCGCGAGGAGGTCGACCTGGTTGGGTATATTGCTAGCAATGGGATTCTCAGTCTCCATTACTAACAATCCCTTTCCCCCCGCTGTGCTTCGGGTCGGATATGGTAGTGAATTTACAGTATACAGAGGTACAACAACTTAGTCCTCAGGAATGGCAACGCATGGAGGGTATCATGAGCGAAATAGTATACTCTGTTATATCCATGGTACTGTTCATGTCTATAGGCGACGGTTACCACTTCCCATCAGGTTGGCCTTTACCTTGTTTGCCATTTTAAATTGCAAAAAAAAAACAATCTTACCAATCCGCCTGGTCTTAAAGCTAGGTTACTCTGTGTTACGAGAAACTAGGTAACATTTACCCGGTACGACTCGGAACACGTAGACCAGAGCTAATTTTTAAATGTTCTTCTCCTGTACTAAGAGAGAGACTTTTTTTATACAACTTAGAATGGCAAACAAGCTGACGGCCCACGGATAATTACAATTTGTTAAATAGTAAGCAGTTACAGGTTAAGGACGCCTTAAAATCAGGGCTGTCACATGCACGTTAAATCTTATAGAAATTATTTTATGGCCTTTTCAAGAATTGTATGCACTCGGGTCAACCTCTTTAGGGAGTTTATTGTACATTCTAAGTAATCGCGGAATGAAACTCCTCTGTGGAGGAGATTGTTAGTAAAAGGTATTGCTAGTAAGCATTGGTGAATTTGTCACAGTGGACTCTATCCTCGCCTATTATTCTTGTTTACAATAACACAGGTGGTGACAATGAATTGGTGACAATCGTTGAATAATTACAATACAACTGACAATTGTTGTGAGAGGGGGTGGGGAGGGGTTGTTACTATTGCGGACTACTAATACCATACTATTGATAGCAATATACCCTGTCAAGTCGACCTTCACATGGTCCTTTCTGGAAATCATCGTGCTAAATTTCAAGTGTATTTATCACGATGTGCTAACTGACCTGCCTTTTCATTCTCATCTATCGCCCCTCACTGATGCCCCACGAGCGTATATCGTAAGCGAAGGCGGAGTTATCATTATATTATCATTAATAGAAAAAAAATGTTTTAAGAGATCGACCCACTCACTACTTCCTTTGCCACTGTGTTAGGTGGACTGAAAGAAATCTCTTTTAGAGATAAGTTCGCCTTTGCTAACATTGTTATTAACTTATTGTTGTTACTGTATGTTTTAGTGCAATAAAGATATATATATATATATATATATATATATATATATATATATATATATATATATATATATATATATATTAGACGATTTGTATGGATGACTGTTTGTGACACTTTCACGCAATAACTATTAAACAAATTTGTATAAAATTACAGAGATAGGTTATAATCTAACTTAGAACACAAGATATTTTATATACTGGTATAAAGTATCCATGTATGTTGTAAGTTAGAATTAATGATACTCATACGAACGAAGCCGCGACATACAGCTAGTTGAATCGTATATGTCACTTGTATCTGCCACCAAGCAGCTGTGTTTGTATAGCTGTGTTCCGGTTTGAAGGTGAGATATTATGCTAGTGAAATTACTGGGTATTGCGACCCAAGGCCTTCATGTCACCTTATCTTACATTAGCATATTAAATAATGTCCCATTGCTTGTCAAGGGCAGAGCTTTTAGAGGGAGCCATTATGAATATAATCAAGACTGCAATTCCGCAAAAAACCGACTCAAATTGTGGCAAAATGAGTTATTTTGGTTTAAAATCTAAACTATTGAATGGATTTTGTTAAAATTTCTACCAATTTGCAAGTATATCCTTTTAGATAAGAAGGAAAGAATTTTCCAATCGGTTTCGAAAAATATTATGGTGGATAAAATACGAGTGACAACCCTAGTATTGTGTATTACCATTTTCGTTCGTCCTATATTAAAAAGTTAGAAATTAAAAAAGTTTAGACGTTTCTGCTTGAATTATTCACTAAATTAGGTAATGAAAGAAAAATAGCACGTCAAAACTCGATATAAAGTTATTCAAATCCACGTAGCCAGTCTCAATGATGGGACGTCACAGGTTGTTTTTTATGTACAATAATGAAATGATAGCCCCGCCTGCGCCATCGGTATACGTCGGAGGGGCACCAGTGAGGATTTTTAAGCAAGGATGAAAACAGGTCGTGACGAATTCATCAAAAATTATGGTTTCTAGGGGGATCCGCGTGGAGATCGACCTGTTAGGGTATATTGCTAGCAATTAATTTGCTAGATCCCTTTACTCTAGAAGTTGGGATTCAACATTAGTTTTTCCGTAGGTTTTCTATTAAAACAACTAATAGTGCTCATTCCGTGTGGTCCCGGCATAGAAGAGGCCAACTCTTCCTATCCTGTGGGTGTCGAAAGAGGCGTAGAATCAGACATAGGTTTTTCTTTTTTCAAATGGCTTAAAAACGAAAAAGTTCTTAATTCCTGTCTTTTCCGTATGTGTGTTACGCGATGTGATACTTTTTATAATATATATATTCCCTTAAGATATATAGATATAAGATATATAGTCCCTTACTTTTGTTATGATATATGCAGTATTTTTGCACAGCAAAATCTTACATTATGTCTACGTCATATTCTTAATTAAAGATATAATACTTAAATAAATTCATTAGGTATCGATATTATTTGTTTTATCTCTTACATAGTTTGTAGTACTTTTTCTGTACTTACATCAACCGAACAATACACCAATTGCACAATTATTATATATAATCGAAACATAGCTTATTTAATAGAATAATATTTAATATACAAATTACTGTGAGAATATTTTTATTATGTTGCAGAATTTTCATGACCGTCAATTTTTTTCTTAGGTTTTCTATTCGGTAATCGTTTTAATGTTGTTGATGGTTCTGTAACCGTCGTTGTCGTCGTCGTTGTTGTTGTTGGAGTTGTTGTAGTCGATGTCGTTGTAGGTGGAGTGGTTGTAGTTGTTGTAGTAGTAGTCGGTGTTGTTGTAGTTGGAGTTGTTGTTGTTGGAGTTGTTGTAGTCGGTGTTGTTGTAGTTGGAGTTGTTGTAGTTGTTGTTGGTGTTGTTGTAGTTGGAGTGGTTGTAGTTGGAGTGGTTGTAGTTGTTGTTGGTGTTGTTGTAGTTGGAGTGGTTGTAGTTGTTGTTGGTGTGGTTGTAGTTGGAATTGTTGTAGTTGGAGTGGTTGTAGTTGTTGTTGGTGTTGTTGTAGTTGGAGTGGTTGTAGTTGTTGTTGGTGTGGTTGTAGTTAGAGTTGTTGTAGTCGGTGTTGTTGTAGTTGGAGTGGTTGTAGTTGGAGTGGTTGTAGTTGTTGTTGGTGTGGTTGTAGTTGGAGTTGTTGTAGTTGGAGTAGTTGTAGTTGTTGTTGGTGTTGTTGTAGTTGGAGTTGTTGTGGTTGTAGTTGGAGTGGTTGTAGTTGGAGTTGTTGTAGTTGGAGTTGTTGTAGTTGGAGTGGTTGTAGTTGTTGTTGGTGTTGTTGTAGTTGGAGTTGTTGTACTTGAAGTGGTTGTAGTTGAAGTTCTTGATGTAGTTGACGTTTGTTCTGTAGTTGTTATCGGAACTGGTACTGGTGTCGTACTCGGTGTTGATACAATTGTCGGTAGAATCTTTTTCAATTTGAATATTGGCACTGGTCGTATGGTTGAAACTGTATTGGATTTTGTCGTTCCTTCAAGTATTACTTTAATTATGCTCAATGGCATCCAATGACCGGGTAAGTCTGCTTCCACTGGATTCGCAACAAACAGTAAAGGATCTTTTTCTATATCTGGCCATTTTTCTCCAAATGTGTCTTTAATTATAGCAAGCCCAAATATTGAGATGATTACTTGAGATAACACTGCGAACAATATTTGTTAAATTATTGTATTAGAAAATAAATAAACGATTATCAATAATTTTATTCTTATTTGTTTTTGACTTTTCACATTTATTTCATAATTATTTCAAGGGTAAAAAAAATATTGTAGTAGGAAAGATCTAAGTGTTTAGGAGGTACCAAATTCAGTGTTTTAATAAGATTTTTGAAGCTGCTTATAAAAATGGTAACTCACTTTGTATAGTTGTGAATAGTTTCTTAGAAGTTTTATTGTTTTGTACATTTTATCAATCTTACACCGACGTTCAAATAAGCATCTTAGTATGCAGACTACATGATTTCAACTCTATCTCAATTAATGAACAAGTTAAATTGATTGTTAAATTATGTACTTCAACAATCATTGTAATGGAAATGGTTTATGACATAAAGGAAAGTATACTATAATAAACATTGTTGCATTTTTTGGCAAGGTTGGTTCAAGCGCGCTTCTATGTGGTATCTATGTTTATTTGTACAGAACAGTTGTAAATTATAATAATAAGTAAATAAAAATTGTTTTTCATTTAATCCACTTTATTCTTTAAAGTAATGAATATAAATTTTTAAAATCAAAATGTTGGTTTACTAAATAAATTTTTTCCATACTTGAAAAGGATTCTTTTAAATAAATTACGATTTCCAAAAACATAAGTGATTTCCTGTTTTTTTTTTTGTGTGCTCCTAATGCAATTTATAGTATTCATATTATGAAAGAAGTGTAAATTATTTATAGGCAGATAGTAATAAATTAAACTTCCCTGATTCTTATCTTGTATTTTATTAAAAAAATAAAAAATATATAGTTACAAATTTAATACTAATGAAATTGTATCTAGATGTGGGAGATATTGAAGAAAACTTAATATGAGGTGTCCTAATAAGGACCAATAGGTAATGAAAACAAAAAACGAAAATATTTAGAATTTATGCTTACCTGTGTGTATGTTCGTTTCGACATCACGCAAAAACTAATGGACACAGTTTTCACAATTGTGATCCTAACGGTCTAATTTAAAAACTGCTGTATGCTCTATTTTCGTCATATCTAGAAATAATATATTTTATTGGCATTTTTATTTCTAAAATTCACGTGTATGAAATAGCGGGCAAAGAGCTAGTTTGATATATTTTTTGGAATGCTAGTATATTTTATACACGTGTGTTGCTGTGGCAGGTCATTAGTTTCCATCATCATCATCATCATATTAGTCGTTAACTGTCCACTGTTGAACATAAGCTTCCCCTATAAGGAAGGTTTTACCAATAGTTGCCACGCTAGTACCACGGTTAGTGACCCGTGGTAGTAGCGTGGCAACCCGTATATAATAAATATACCCAATAATATTTTCATAAAATATGTTATGGTGTTAGTAATAATAATTTATTTAAATATTTGAGTTCATGTGACTATCGAGTTTCGGTGGTCGTTTCGGTGGCCTTTTCACTGCTCTGGTTGCGACTTCTGTTGTAACTTCGGTCGTTGCTTCAGTTGTTGTTTCGGTCGTTGCTTCGGTCGTTGCTTCGGTTGTTGCTTCAGTTGTTGCTTCAGTTGTTGTTTCGGTCGTTGCTTCGGTCGTTGCTTCGGTTGTTGCTTCAGTTGTTGCTTCAGTTGTTGTTTCGGTCGTTGCTTCGGTCGTTGCTTCGGTCGTTGCTTCGGTCGTTGCTTCGGGCGTTGTTTCGGTTGTTGCTTCAGTCGTTGCTTCAGTCGTTGCTTCAGTCGTTGCTTCGGTTGTAGCTTCAGTCGTAGCTTTTGTTGTAATTTTTGTTGTAGACTTTATCGTAGCTTCTGTCATAGTTTCTATTATTTCTTCTGTTGTTGCTTCTGTTACAGCTTCCGTTGTGGCTTCGGTTGCAGCTTCAGTAGTTCCTCTTGTGATTATTTGTGTAATCACCTTTGCTGTTGTTTCTGTGATTGTTTCTACAGTTGCTTCAGTAATAAATTTTTTAGTTGTTTCTAATACTGTTGACGTTTCTACTTTGCTTAATTTTAAAGTTGACGAAGGCTGAGCTCTAGATGTAAGTCTTTTATATTTGTTATAAGTTATAGGTTGTTGAACTGTACTGGTTGTTGTTGTTCTTGATAATATTAATCTTATAATGCTTAATGGCATCCAATGTCCAGGCATATTAGATTCAACAGGGTTAGCGATGAATACTAATGAGTCGTCTTTTAAGGACAAAGAGCAAGTGATTGTACTTGCAGCAATAATCCAAGTAAACGTAGTCGGTAAAGTCACTGAAAATAGATATAATAAGCTAATATTAAAAATTCAATTAATTAGTCATATTTCTGATGACCTCAAAATGTGATATAGGAATGATCCTTATATAAATTATGAATAAATGATATGACGAATAATTATTAGTAATTGATGTAAACAAAGTAAAGTAAACCTCTATAGAAATCTCATTTATTTATTACAAAATATTATGTATTTAAAATTAGTAATCCTATGATATCCTGCAATAGTACGATCATCAGAGTGTTTGAATTATTTAAATTAATTTATTAAATTAATTTAGTAATGAAAATATGATCGTACTTCAAACGTACACGTAGTGTTATTAATAATCGATTCACTCTCTATTTCTTTGTAGTAATTACGTTTGAAGTAGTATGAAATCATGTTATTAATAAGATTATTGCTTACTTTTTCTGCTTTTATCTGCCTGTTTCATTATATTTTATGGATTAAAATGAAATTTTTTTCTCTGGTCATGTTTAGGTTGTTGTAATCTTCATTATTATGACGTTATACTTAAAATTTCTGCTTATCGTCTTGAACATATTGAGATTGCAAGCTCATTATTATTTCAATCAGAATTTGTCGAGGTTTACGACGACTTTTAAGGATGACTAGTATAATGTTTTTCTTATTGTTTAATTGAGTTTTTGAAATGTAAATCAATGTTTTATATTCTAAGGTTTAAGCAATTAGTGTGATTATGAAAAAATACAATTAAAATTAGGTGACTACATAAAATAATAATATTTTTAATCGTCTTCCAAATGAAGAAGGTTCATAGTTCGTTTACATTTTTTTTATATGTATGTAAAATTTACAATCGAATTACGCATGTATGTGTACGACATCAAATTGTCAATTTTATTGATTTTTTATGCAAACGTTAGTGTTTAGGTATTGGTCTTATTTTAATTTTGTGATAATTGAAATTAGCGTTTCTCTTTACAGAGCAAAAAATTGTTTGTTATAAAGCGAAATTTTCTTATATAGACACAATTTCGTGTTCTAAATGTCTCATTTCTTGTTATTTATCAGTATATTTTATTAGTATTAAAATAAATATAGTGAGATTACTAGTTTCATTTAGATATTACATTTTTCTCGCATTACTCTTTTTCTGAACACAGATACCTATTTTATTTTTTATCACCATCGTCATCATATCAGCTATTATCTGTCCATTGCTGAACAAATGCCTCTTCTCTAGACTGCCATAAAGAACGGGGCCATTCCTTGTTGCAGTTTACTATTGGGGGATTTTGCCAGTAGTTACCACGCTTGGGAGGTGGATTGGTTACCGCTGTTTGGATTTTGGTGACATTTTAAAAGGGACGCTGCTGCCCATCCCTGGACCATAGTTGCCTATTACGGCACTCACGAATAAGGAACAGTTAGCTCATTTACTTTGTTATATGTATAGAATATTTATTATAATCGCCTATCATGTTAGGTACTGTCATATCAGTAATTACTATGTTACTTTAAAATTCACGTATAAGTATTATTATGTCTATATGTGCTTATAAATAGAACTTATGTACAATTATCTTTGTACTTTAATTATTTTTTAACTAATGATATGATTGATTAATCGTGAATGTTGTTTTACAAATTATCATGTTTTAAACACGTTATATATAATGTTATAAATAGAAAAGTACGTTACACAATTACGTTACGGTACTATTTTTTAAAAAGAATATGACGGTAGATACATAAGAAAATGACTATTCACAGAATGCTTAAAGTTTACTTAAATAATTTTTTTTTAATAGAATGGTAATTAAATACATATTCGTTTTTATTTTAATAAAATTTTGTCTACCTACTATATACTTGAACAAACTGGATCAAACCGGTATAATTATTCCCGCCATTAATTTTACTAACTCGGAACAAACCAAATGTAACTAGTAGCGAAATCATATGCCTTATTTCAAACTCACTGACATGCTCGTAAAATAAAGAATAAAACAAAAAAAAAACAATAAATATATTATCTATTCGTACAATAATATATTATACTGTAACTAACCTCAAAACCAACATTTACCTGTAACCTCAAAAGATAGATACGAGTAGTAATCTTAATCTATAGTAAAGTAGTTAAGCAGGTAGGATTTTGCGGACGAAGCCGCGGGATGGAGCTAGTAATAAATATGAGCAGTTCTCATTTTAAAACGAATAAAACGGATTGAAAAACGTTGTGATATTTCGTAGATTGATATTTGAACAATTTTTTTTTCCTAGATAATACCGTATCCTTAAATGTTGGGAGACAATTATACTTCGCTAATGGTATATCAAGCGTAATGGTAAATTTGCAATTTATTTGGTATGGTTTCAAGTTTTTCTGTTTTCATGTGTGTTATGAATATTATAATTATATGATATGATATGTGGAATATTTTTATTTAGAATATAGAATCGTGTGTCTACAAACAAAATGTTGTTTCGCAAATAAAAACAGCAGTCTGAATCAGTAAAATTGATATAGGACAAGCACGGAAATGAGTCCTATTTATTGTATAATAAAATATCAAAATAGAATCACAATATTTTTTTTATGAATCTTTGAAATGCAAATAAGTTGACAGCCCTTCTGATGGAAAATGGTAATCGCCTATATACATGAACAGCAGCACGGACGTCACGGAATATCTACTCTGTGATACCTATAGTACCCCTCGTGTAGGAGTGGGAAATATACAGCAATCTCTATATATTTCAGTTACAACATCTATATATTGGTCCGATAATGAATATGTTAAAAATTTGTTATACAAAAAATAATATTGGATAACACACTTTTGATATATTTTAGAATAGAAGCAGTTGTGTTTGCATTGCTGTGTTTCGGTTTAAAGGGTGGGATATGGCCTGAAATTACAGGAGAGAGGAATAACACCTGAGTCCTCAGGAATGGCAACGCATGGGGAGTATCATGGGCGAAACAGTCACTAACACTCTGTTATATCCATGGTACTGCTCATGTCTATAGGCGACGGTTATCACTTTCCATTAGGTGGGTTGCCAGCTTGTTTGCCATTCTAAGTTGTATAAAAAAAGATGTTCGATCGATATTGGCGATATCGTAATTACATATTTTTCGCCTTCAATGTCCAAAGGAACGTAATTTATATATATTTTGGTGTCTTGGTGGATTGGTGTCTAATTCTCCATGGCTACCCTCATATGTTGCTACACTAGAGGACATCATAGTTACAAAAAATTCAGACGATTTGAGAATTTTTTGGAAGTTAGAAAAATAAAATCCGACAACTAAAACATGGGTAAGAAAAAAAGAATTGGACAAGAAATGGTGAAAATTATAAACGAAAATTTGCTTAAACATTTACTGTGCAAAATTGACAGAGATAATAACAACAATAAAAATATTCAGTCTTAACATCATCGTGATTCTCCGGCGGAGCTGAAACTGTATTCGCTGTACATGACGTCGTCATGAAACGGTGGGAGTATGCAGTCCAGATCAACATACAATTGCCGCTGCGCGGTTAGTTTATCCACTATTTGAGCAAATGTTGGCCGGTCGTTGGGATCGTCCGACCAGCATTCCACCATTAGCTGGTAGAGTCTGGGGGACGCCCTCGCGGGCTTCTGTAAGCGATTCCCGCTTGTCAGGAACGCTGGGATCTGGTGATTACTGAGTTCTGCGTACGGGAAGCCGCCTGAAATGGACAAAAAAATCCACTTTATGGTTTGAAAGTTTATTGGCCCTTTTTGTATTGTATTTACAAAAGAAAACAAGTATGTCCAAAAGTCTGAGGAAAATAAGACAAGAGAGTGAAAGACACCGCTGTAGGAGAGTGCATCTATCCCACTCGCACGTATGTCGCTTGAGTATCATCATCAGCATCTCAGCCATTATCTGTTTACTGCTGAACATAGGTCTCTTCCAAAGACTGTCATAAGGAACGGTCCTGAGCCACCCGTATCCACTCTATCCATCTAGTGGGGGTTCGTCCTACATTGCGTTTGCCCGTACTGGGTCGCTACTCAAGAACTTTTCTTCCCCAACGGTTATCGATTTTTCGAGCTAGGTGACCATCTCTTTGCCAGTTAAGCTTGTTTATCTTTCGGGCTATGTCGGTGACTTTGGTTCTTTGTATATAAATATATAATATGTAATACTAAATATAATAATAAATAAAAGTATATACTATGTAAATAAGTATTTAACATAATTTTTTGTATCACAAAATTTTATTAATAATGATGTTTGTAACAATCTTATTGGTATATTAAGGATTTATTATTAGGGGTGGGGAAGGAAAGCTTAAAATGATCTATTTTTTATTTTATTTTATTTCTTATTGCATTCCATAATATACTTAGTTGATAACATTTCAATTATGGACCCTGTTGGGTACAGCAAGTAGGAGAGAGGTGATCTAAATATTCACTTCCAAACATGTCTTTACCTATAGCTAGAAGTTCCGCTTCTGATCCTGGTGTGGGCACTAAATAACTCTGGAGTGGACACGGAACCCTCTTTACATACACCAATGGACAATCCTCTCAACCCAGGGAGTCCAAGAAGGATATGGCGGAATTGTTTCATTTATAAAGAAACATAGTATTTGTGTCACTTTTATCTAGTCTGTTTACTCACAATATAGAACGTCTAATATCAAATTACATTTATTTACCTAAAGTAGCGATTTCCCATAGTAAAACAGCAAATGCCCAAACATCACTGGCGCTGCAGTACTGCGAGTGCAGTATGGCCTCAGGCGCTAACCACCGCAGGGGTACGGGGTTCGACCTCGTGTGGACGTACACCCCCGTCCGGGAGAGGCCGAAGTCAGCCACCTTCAGGACGCCGGCTGCGTCCACGAGGATATTGCGAGCTGCCAGGTCTCTGAAAAGGTAACAAATTAATAATGTAATTTCTTGTTACCCAGTAACCAAACAATGAAACGTTTTGCACTTGAATAATATAAAATTAGTTTCCTAATAATTTAAAATTTTTAATTTCAGAAATTTCATTTTTAATTTACAATAATTTAAGATTTTTCCTTAAATTAGGATTTTATTTCTTTCATTTTTACTATTTAAATAAATAAACCTGATTTCAATCAAAAAGTTCTAAACTAGTGCAGAAGAAATTATACAAAAATAAATTTATTTTACTGAACTAGGTGTTATCTTGCGGAAATCTATATTACTGACTATTAAATTAGAATTACATACATACATACATACATATCAGTCACGCCTGTCTCCTGTTAGGGTAGGCAGAAACAATGGAACGCCAAATGCTTCGATTCAAACAAACCTCTTTCGCTTCTTCCACATTCATCAATCTTTTCATACACGCTCGCCGGTTACGGATACTTAAAAATAAAAAAAAAAAAAAAATAATAATTTGTAAATTAGAATTCCGCTACTATTATAATATGCGTTTGCCTGAAGATACCTAGTTCACAGATGTAGTCGTGGACAATTTTCGAGTGTTCACAGTCATACACAGTCTTCGTATGACTGCGAAATTAAATCATCGTAGCGAAATTAAATAAAATAATTCTAATCAATTAACCAAAAGAAATACCAGTAGAATTGAAAAAAACACTTTAAAAAAATCTTGGCATAAATATATTTCAATGTGGTGACGGAATTAGAATACAATGTATCAATTTTATTTATGGTCATGTACTGCTATTTTTCTTCTAAATGTGATAAAAGAGGACTATAGGAACAAAGCACAATACACCTGTGCATGGAAGGAAAATATAAAATGAATTCAAATATATTTATTTCACACAACAAGGATCCAAATGAAAGGAACAAAATAAAACCTTGTAATTTTAAAATTATATTTTTCTTTTATTTATTTACGAGCCATTTGGTAATAGAGGGCTATATATGACTCTTAGGGGGAGAGACATATAGTCATAGTCGTAGAATACTGACGGATCTGACAAATATTACATATATAGATCCGTCAGTATTCTACGACTATGACGATATCAGCAATGTTAAGGTAAAATCAGTCATTTGATAGTTTCAAGTTAGGGTTTCTTAAATTTTTCGCAGTCACCGACCACTGCACAGTTTAAACAATTCCACAGACCCCTGTCATAAAACATTTTAATTAGGTCCTAAAATTTAGGAAAAGAAAAAACTTACTTTTTTATATTATAAAAAAAAACCTTTATTGGTAGTTTTAATAGATTTTATTAAATTCGTCGCCTAACAACGACGATGTGTTTCGTCGAGTTTACTACACAATTTCCTAATAAATACTTTTACAATTAACTGACCTATACAGATCTCTCCTCCTGATACGCAAGGGGTCCGTGGACCCCTTAGGAGTCTGGACTTTAAGAAACCCTGTCTTAAGCATATAAAAATAAATGCAAAAATGTTGTTTCCAAAGCCTGGAGTGAAATCGTAATACAACTTTATATGAAATTGTATTGTTTTGTAAAATCTTTATTGTACATAATTCACATTGAATACATTAAATGATTTAGTATACAATGGCAATAGTATGATAATGTTGTTCAAACATTCAAATATGTCTACAAATATTCTTATTTAGTCATAATAATGTTTAGAACGTAAAATATAAGTGGGGATGTTTGGATGCTTGCTCACGATAACTCAGTAGAGTTATGTACATATATAGGTAATTTAAGTTTAGTTTAGTTTCCTGAGTCCTCAGAAATGGCAACGCATGGGGGGTATCATGGTCGAAACAGTATACTCTGTTATGTCCATGGCACTGCTCATGTCTATAGGCGACGGTTACCACTTTCCATCAGGTGGGCCGTCAGCTTGTTTGCCATTCTAAGTTGTATAAAAAAAATGTTCCGCACAAAATATTGACTTCAATTTATACCAGGTATTTTGACTTCTATACTAAAATACTGATCCGATTTTGATCAAATTTCTATGGAACCATATTTATAATATTATGAATATTGTAAATATATGTCCTTTCAGAAAAAATAAAATTTCATATACTTCAACCAACTTTAAAAAGAAAGAGGTTCTCAATTCAGTTGCACTTATTTTTTTTTTGTTTGTTACCTTATAACTCCGTCAGTTATCAACCGATTTGGATTTTTTTATCTAATACTCGGACATTGGTTCCATAGATTTTTTCAAAAACGGTTTAGTGGTTTAATTAAAATAACTGATTTCACCATGATTTAAAGTCAGTTTTTTTTTGGAACTCAATCTTATAATTATATCTTAATATATATAAATTACATGTCTATATGTTTGTTCACGTTAATCTTGGAAACTGCGCAATTGATTTCGTAGGTAAAAGTTTGCTCCAACTAGAGAGATAGGGCAGTATTTATCTCGATAAAAAAAATGGACTCCGTAAGTGGTGGTAGGAGCAAAATATTGTTTACTGGGTCGGTTAGTATACTAACAGCGATTAAAGTTAACAATTTGAAGTCTAGAGGGTATATAAACTTAGATTAGTTTAAGTACCTATTATATTGGTACAGTCTAGTTTATCCATATACATTAAATATATTTAATTACCTTGTATATTATACTAGCTTTTGCTTGCTGCTTCGCTCGCGTGTATTATTGGATTCCTTGTTCTATAAAATTTCACGTATCTAACTTCTGAATTGATTACATTCTATACATATTATCAACTCCCGTTTTACCCTCTTAGGTGTGGAATTTTCAAAATTCCTTTCTTATTGTTTACCTGCTCTATACAAAGAACCTATCTTCAAAATTTTACAATTCTATAATAAATTCAAGTGGTTTTAGCTGATATATTGTTTGATAAATGGGTTAGTCGGTCAATAAGCATCCTCTTATATATATATAGATATAGATATATGAAGGGCAGAAAGTAATCGTTTGATAAGCCATACCTCTAAGAGGCTTAGTGATTTAAGCAAAATTATCTATATGCTCACGGCTGTAATCCCTAATGAGGTAATCGGGGATATTTTTCGTGAATATCACCAGAGGGAAACTTTGTACAAAAGTCGATTGCTTGGGTACCTCTGTCCCATTCGTGTTTCAACCGTGAAGCAGTTGTGTTTGCATGGCTGTGTTTCGGTTTGAAGGATGGGATATGGCGTGAATTTATTGGGTACAGAGGAATAACACCTGAGTCCTCAGGAATGGCAACGCATGGGGGGTATCATGGGCGAAACAGTATACTCTGTTATGTCCATGGTACTGCTCATGTCTATAGGCGACGGTTACCGCTTTCCAACAGGTGGGCCATCAGCTTGTTTGCCATTCTAAGTTGTATAAAAAAAAAATAATTTAACATTCATGATCAATATGCCTACATTCCGCTTAGCACATTAGAATCTACTAATACCTACTACGATATTTTTGGTAATATATCTTTGAATTTAGTATACTTGTTTTATATAAAGAGTTATATTTTCATGTTCCTTAATATTAGTGTAGAGAACAAATTAAGTTAAACCGCTTTTAATTAAAAAGACACATTAAAATCGGACTATTCGTTTTAGAGCTACCAAAAACAAAGACTTCAAATTGTATATAGCGTCCCTCTTTTTGCGCCGAGAGTTATTAATTAAGTATAACGTTTATAGCTGAAATGTAACAATTACCTAATATTAAATGTTTCGTTTCATTAACTACAATTTGCCACTTAACCCATATTTCTGGGAATTTTACAATTCATTTACAATATGTCGTTTACAAATATAAACTTTATGACTTCAACTGCAGAGGTCACAATGCTTTAACAATTTATTAGATTCAATCCACTGGGTCGAGGGCCTGGCAACAGTTGCTAAGCAATAAACCTATAATGTGGATTTGCGAACATTTCGCGAACAGGCGCCGGTCAGCTTTGTAACCGAAATAGATCTGGGACCGTAGATAAAGTAATGTTGTATCATAGATGTCGCTATTAGAAAAGTACAAAAAATAGTGTGCAATATTGTTAAAAAAAAAAGAATTCCCATCTTGATAAAATTGTTATGAATTCAACCTGGGTATAAACTTATTGGAAATTAGCTTTTTGCCTGGTACTTCGTACAGGGAGACTTTGTACAAAAATCGATTGCTTGGGTACCTCTGTCCCATTCCTGTTTTTACCGTGAAGCAGCATAGCTGTGTTTCGATTTGAAGGGTGGAATATGGCGTGAATTTACTGGGTATAGAGGAATAACACCTGAGTCTTCAGGAATGGCAACGCTTGGGAGGTATCATGGGCGAAACAGTATACTCTGTTATGTCCATGGTACTGCTCATGTCTATAGACGAGGGTTACCACTTATTTGCCATTCTAAGTTGTATAACAAAAAACACGCCTGGATAATACCAGATTTTAAGTTAGACCTTTTCCAATTTTTACTGGTGCCGGGACCACACGGACTGTTTTATGTTACTTCATAATTCTGTTCATTATAAACTGATTTGAAAAATATTTATTTTATTGGAAATAGAATATTTTCAGATTCATTACATATAAAATTTTATCAAAATCGGTATGTATTTAAATTTTAAAATTAAAATAACAGAATTTTAAATAAAAAACTTTGCCACGAATGAAAATAATAAAACTGATTTTAGTGTCGCCACACTAAACATCTTTTAAAAGCAAATGTTACTATATCACCTAGAATATGCAGATAATGTGTTTTTCTTAGTTTATGCTCGCGATTTTCCTTGCGTCAAATTAGCTTATGGTAAATTACACCATAAGATTACATTTATAATGGAATAAAGGGTATCCTTGTTGAATATGCGCAGTAAAGCTGGCAAGTCACATTTCTAATTGAAGTACAAAAGCGTACTGCTTTAAAAACATGTGTATTTAGAATCGGAATGTTAATCATAATCATTTCAGACGTTAACCGTCCACTGCTGGACATAAGCCTTCCCATAAGGGGA